TTTCAGATGGGTCACTTAATGCCAATAATAATTAGATCAATAGGTTAGTTTTGTTTTTTTTGCCATTTGCAACAATTTGTCTTATGTGTAACAAATAAACCAATAATTGCATGAAAAAATTAAATTGAAGAAACCTCCCTTTAAAAATTAATATTCATATTGACATTCTATGGACTATGCTTTCATGCTTTCCTTTTTTTATACTAGCATTTCCTGATTATAGTTTTTTTTGTTTTTGTTTTTTTTTTAATTTTTATCCTCACCCGAGGATATTTTTCCATTTTTTGTACAGATAGAGTAGGAGGGAGAGAGGGAGAAACATCGACGTGAAGGGACACATCGAGTGGCTGCCACCCGCACGACCAACCAGGGCCGGGGACAAACTGCAACCGAAGTACGTGCCCTTAGCGGGAACCGAACCCGGGTCTCTCTGGACCGCAGGCCGACGCTCTAACCGCTGAGCCAAACTGGCCAGGGCCTGATTATAGGTTTTTATTGGTGCTAAGTCATCACTAGAAAATAGTTATGAAAATTTTAACAATACAGGGAAGAAAGCTTGCATTTTAAAAGGAATTCAAAACAGAATGTGTATTTCATTTTAACCCATTGGGCACAAATTATGGTATAGTTGCTTGGTTAATTTTTAAAAAGCAATTAGTGACCTGATAAACATGAGTGTTTACTCTCAGAAACTTAAACAGATGACTGTAGGCATCACAGGTTAAGTAGTTGCTAGAATTAAAAAATACTGAAGGCGGTAGCTAAGGGATCATTGTCATAAGTTGGTGGAAGTACAGGTACTATGTTTTCATTGAGTGTAAGTTTACCTTTTGATTAGTGTGTACCTAAACTATACTTGACTAAGAACTCTTTGTCACTTTATAATGATTTTCTTTATAATGAAAAATAAACGTGGAAATGGGGGTTTCAAAAAAAATTCCTATTTCCATAGATGATTCTGCTTTTTTACATATAAAAATGTATTGGTATGTATTGGTCGAGTTTGCTTTTTCTTTCAGGTTTTTTCTTTGAGATTTTCTAGCTGAGGTATTGGTTGGCCTGAATGAGACGTCCTCATTCTCTTCATGAGATTTTCCCCTCATGAGCAATGGCATGAATTTACAGGATGACTGTTTAGAGCAGTTGCTGAAGCTCTGCAAGTGGAACAAGAAGTACTTTTTTGGGGAAGGTAACTGGTTCATGGGAAAATTGAACTGGTAATCTTAGCCAAACCAAGCCACAGGATTAGACTTCAACTTTTATAGGCTATCACATGATCAAAAGAATAGCAAGAAACTCCATAGAGTTTGTTTCATATGCCTTGTATGACACACCTGTGCAAAATAGCGGGATAACCCAAGAAATCTTGCCTGACTCATTCTTCCACTATGTCTCATCTCTATGTTTTTTTTTTATTAGTCGATCAATTCACTTATCCAGTAGTTTTGAGTTCCTACAGTGTGCCAGGTACTTTGCTAGGTGACAAGGATGGAGAGATGAGTGCAGTTCTTACCCTCAAGAGACATACAAAGTAGTATGCTGTTCTGTAACAAATGCAGTGACAGGGTTAAACAGAGAACACTTTAGGAATCTATAGGAGGGAGTGTCTGGCTCAGCAAGGGATGAAGGGATGTGAGAAGGAAATCTTCATAGGAAAGGTAACACTTAATGTGTGTCAAATAGATAAGAGAAGTACAAGTTGGGAGATGAGAAGCCATTTCAGTCAGAGAGGACAACATGTGCAAAGGATGGAGGAGGTGGGAAAGTCAATATGTATTCAGTAACTGTGAGTAGTTTCACAGTGCATTAGGCACCAGCGCTAGATTAATAAGAGTGAGGTGGAAAACTGGAAGACCGAGTATGAAGATTCTTACATGCTTTGTAAAGTAGATTTGACTTCATCCTATAAATGATGGAAGGTGAGTGCTTAAATTTACATTCTACAAAAATCTCTCTAGCTGCATTGTAGAGAGTATTTTAGAAAAGAGCCAGGCTTGGTGGGGAGAGGCAGATATTTGAGAGTTGACAAGGAGCTGAAGTAGGTTTGTGATTAAGGAGAAGAGTAGGTGATGAATTTGAAAAGAGTATACTGAGTGTGAAGTAAAACAAGGTAAGGATTGCACATGCCCTGGTTTGAGTACTGCCATTCACCAATACAAGAAGATGCTGGGGGGCAGTAACAGATGAGGAAGATATTTGAGTTCTTTTTGCTGATTTAAGGTTTCTATGGAGAGAGAAAGAAGAAGACATCACTTTATATATAATCACTTTATGGGGGAGTGGGGAAAACTTCTCTAATTAGATGACATTTGAATAGGTACTTGAATGAAATGATCAAAGGAAAGCTTTCTAAATGGAGGCAATAACAAATGCAAAGGTCTTCAGATGGGAGTGTGCTTGCAGTATTCCAAAAGCAAGAAGGCCAGTGTAGTTGGAGCTGAGACAGAGCAAGAAGGGTAGATGAGATCTGGGTATGTGCTTTTCATGTAGCATCTTTAGATTATAATAAGGACGTTAGATTTTATTCAGAATGACATAGGAAGCCACTGAAGAATTTTAATACATTTATTTTTCTTTTTTCCCCTCACTTAGGACATGATTTATTTTTTGGTTCTTGTGTATGTATAGTTCTATATCATTTATCATGTGTATAGATTTATGTTACTATCACAGTCAGGACATAGAACTAGAACCATTCATCACCAATAATAAATTTCTTTGTGTTTCCCCTGTATAGATGTTCCTTGACTTATGATGGGGTTCTGTCCCAATAAACCCATCATAAGTTGAAAATATCATTAAGTCGAAAATGCATTTAGTACACTTAAGCTACCTACGTCAAAGCTTAGCCTAGTCTATCTTAAACTTGCTCAGAACACTTACATTAGTCTACAGTTGGACAATTACCTTGAGATTCATCTTGAGTAATTGCCTTCCTCCTCTTGCTAGAAGCAAGAGTCAAAGATGGACGTTTATGTAGACATGATGGAATGTGAAAACACAAAACATAATGTCCAAAATGCTGGCAACACAGTACAATGTAGAACATTAGTTGCTTACCTCGTGATTGTGTGGCAGATGTGGGGGGACCTGCAGCTCACTGCCACTGACTAGCGTCACGTGAGAGACCAGGGTCACATGAGAGAGTATCTACCGAATATTGGTAGCCCAAGAAAAGACCAAATTCGAAGTACAGTTTCTACTGAATGTGTATCGCTTTTACACCATCCTTAAATTGAACTATGGTAAGTCAGGGACCATCTGTCTGTATATAGTCATACCTCCTTAAATCTTGGCAACCACTGATCTGTTCTCTATCACTATAATTTTGGTACTTGAAAAGTATTACATAAATGGAATTATACATTATGTTATCATTGACTTTTTCACTCAGCATTATGTCCTTGAAATGCATTCAATTTCTTGCATGTATCAATAGCTCCTTGTAATGCTAAGAAGTGTACCATTGCATAGGTGTACTACAATTTGTTTAGCCATTGACTGACTGAAGGACTTTTGGGTTTTCAGTTTGAGGTGGTAAAAATTAAAGTTCTGGGCAGTTTTGTACAGGTTTGGATGTGGAAATACATTATCTCTCTACGATAAACCCCCAGGAGTGCAGTTGCTGGGTTGTGTGGTAACTATGTTTAACTTTATAAGAATCCGCTGCTTTTCCAGAGCAGCTGCACTATTTTACATTCCCACCAGCCATATATGTGAGATTAAGCTTCTCCACATCCTTGCCAGCATTTGGTATTATCAGTATATTTTATTTCAGAGATTCTAATAGGTGTGTAGTGACATCTTATTGTAGCATTAATTTACATTTCCCTGATGGCTGATGGTGTTGAACATATTTCCATATGCTTTACTGTCCACGTATCCTTTGTGGTGAAGTGCCTGTTCAAGTCTTTTGTTCATATTCAAATGGGATTGTTTATTTCTTGTTGAGTTTAGTGAGTTCTCTAGATATTCTGGATACAAGTTCTTTTTTGAGTATGTGATTTGTAAATATTGTAAATAAAGCCTGCAACTTTTCTTTTCATCCTCTTAACAGGCTTTTGCAGAGTAAACAATAATATTAATGTTGATGAAGTCTAATTTATCCATTTTTTCTTTTTTGGATTGTGCCTTTGTTGTCAAGTCTTTGAACTCTTTGCTTCTCCTTTGGTCCCTGTTTTCTTCTAAAAGTTTTCTAAAAGCTTTATATCTTGCATATATAAACCTATAATCCATTTTGACTTAATTTTTATATAGAAGTGTGATGCTTAGCTTGAAGTTTATTTTTTATGTATGTATGTCCTTTTTCAACATTTGTTGAAAAAGTTATCCTTCCTCCATGCCCTGGCCAGTGTGGCTCAGTTGGGTGTCGTTCTATGTACTAAAAGGTTGCCCATTCAATTCCCAGTCAGGGCACATGCCCAGGTTGCGGACTCCATCCCCTGTAGGCCACTTGCAGGATGTGGGCAATTGATGTTTCCCTCTCACATTGATGTTTCTGTCTCTCCTTCTCCTTTTCTCTCTCTCTAAAAATCAGTTTTTAAAAATCTTTTTTAAAAAACATCCTTCCTCCATTTAATGTTATTTGCAGCTTTGTCAAAAATCAGATGGCTGGCCTAGACGGTGTTGCTCAGTGGCTGAGCATCGACCCATGCACCAGGAGGTCGCTGGTTTGATTCCTGGTCAGGGCACATGCCCAGGTTGTGGGCCAAATCCCCGGTCGGGGGCATGTAGGAGGCGGCCAGTCGATGTTCTCTCTCATCGATATTTCTCTCTCTCTCCCTCTCTTCCTTCCTCTCTCTCTCAAATCAATAAAAAGAAAAATAGATTTTTAAAAAAATCAGATGGCTGTACTTGTGAGAATCTTTTTCTGAATTTTCTGTTCTGTTCCATTGATCTTTGAGGCTATTTCTCCACCAATAAGTACTGTCTTGATTATTGTAGCTTATAGTAAGTCTTAAAACCAAGTAGTGAAATTCCTCTAACTTAATTTTCTTTTTTCAGAATTGTTTTAGCTGTTCCAACTCCTTAACATGTAAAATTTGGAATCTGCAAAAATATCCTGCTGGGATTTTGGTAGGAACTGCATTAAAACCATAGTTCAGTTGGGAAATTGATGTTTTAATTTTGTTGGCTTTAAATCTTAAACACAACATATCTCCTTATATATAGGAGGTCTTTGATTTATTTCATCAGCATTTTGAAGTTTTCAACACCCTAAAGATTATTTTTAAAGATTTATACATAAATACATACATAAGATTTATAGATACATTTTTTTTGGTAAAAGGGAGAGAGTGAGCCTCAGTTTACAGAGTTGGTAAAAAGACAGATCTGAGTTCCATTCAGATATGTTTACTTCATATTAAAGTATTCTGGAACATATTTTTTAAATGCCATGATCTTTTCTACTGTAACTGGTTAACTCTAAAGATATATTTTTTTATTCATGATTTATATATCTCTAGCTCTTTATTTCACAGGATTTACCATATTGTAGTATAATAAGTATTCTGTTTACTTTTTAGTTTCTCCAACTAAATGGTGTAAGTTTTTAACATCATTAGTACAATGCCTTTGCACTTAAGCTCTCTGTAAATATTTGTGAATGAATGAATGAACACACACACACACACACACACACACACACTGCTAATGTTTAAAGCTAATGAGCCCTGGCCGGTTTGGCTCAGCAGTTAGAGCGGATTGGAGTGTCGGCCTGCGGACCAGAGAGTCCCGGGTTCGGTTCCTGCTAGGGGCACATACCAAAAAAAAAAAGTTTAAAGCTAATGAATTTGTTTACTTTTGGAATGAGTTTTTGAGATTCCAAAGTATGGATAATGGTCAAATGTCTTTTCTGAGTAGTGCCTTATGCTTTCAAACACCCTGCACTGGCCAGATGTCTCAGTTGGTTGGAATGTTGTTCCATACACCACAAGGTTGAGAGTTCAATTCTCAGTCAGGGCACATACCTAGGTTGCAGGTTTGATCGCCAGTCAGGATGCATACAGGAGGCAACCGATTGATGTTTCTCACATTTGGCCCAGACTTCTTGTATCACATGGAGCACACTTTGCAAATAGTAGGGCCAAGCTTACCTTTTCTCCTTTGAGTTTTATTAAACAAAAATACCCTGAGCCTTTACTGTTTCAATGTAGATTTAAGCACCAGGAGAACAGTTATTTTTGAAAGCCACAATGCTTTATTTCCAGATCCATAGTGTGTTTGTGTGTGTGTGTGTGTGTGTGTGTGTATACCTGTACAAACAGATATATGTTGTGATAGTCCATGATAAATTAATAAAGTTTATAGGAATAATGGCTTTTTCTGGTATTCTTAACACCAACATAGAAAGAATGTAAATTGTTTAGTACTCTGTTTTAGGCATTATGGGGAGTAAGGCAGGGGGCTGCTATATAAAATAATCCTTATTCCTCTCTGAGAGAGAACAACATATAATAAACTGGGTCTGTTCTAGAGATACATACCTTACATTATTATTGGGAGCATTAAATGAGTGAATACATTATAAATCACTTGACCCAGTGCCTAAAACATAGTACATTTTTTCCTTATTTTTTTTCCCATCACCATTTATTCCCCCTGTAACCTTCTTCCGCCTTCACCCACTCCCTTCCACCCACCCCTAGCAATCACCACACTGTTGTCTGTATCCATAAGAGATCTTTCTCTTTTGTTTTTTGCTCAATCCCCCCACTTCCCCAGTTCCCCCCATCCCCCTACCCACTCCAGAGCTGTCTGCCTGCTCTCTATGAGTCTGTCTCTATTTTGCTTGTGAGTTCAGTTTGTTCATTAAATTCTCTATATAAGTGAAATTATGTGGTACTTGTCTTTCTCCTACTGGCTTATTTCACTTAATATAATGTTCTTTAGGTTCATCCAGTGGGTAAAATTTTCTTCCTTTTTACAGCCGAGTAGTATTCCATTGTGTAAATGTACCATAGCTGTTGCTACTCATTTACTGATGGACACTTGGGCTGCTTCCAAATCTTGGCTTTTGTAAATAACACCAAAATGAACATAGGGGTGCATATATTCTTTCAAAATAGTGTTTCGGATTTCTTTGGATTAATTCTCAGAAGTAGAATTGCTTGGTCATAAGGCAGTTCCATTTATAATTTTTTGAGGAATATAATAATTATTCTTAAGCTTTTTTTATTTGTCTCTCTTATTCCCATTCTTTCCTGCGTTTTATCGAACATTTCTGACCCCTTTCTGTAAGTTCTTGGTCTTTAAGTCTCCTTTCTTCCTGCCTAACCTTTTTTTCATTATTCCCAAGGTCAATATCACCACCTTCTACTAAAACCCAGTGCCGTATAATTCTATAATATCTCTTAACCTCTCTTTGGGAAAAAGATTCAGCTACAATGTTAGGAGCTGTAAAGTGTGTTACTCTTGTGAAATACAGTTAAGCAAGGCCTAGGAGTGGAATAAGTCATCAGATAAGAAATTGTGTTATTGTGATAATCCAGGTAAAGACACCTGAACAAGGATGTTGTTGGAATAAAGATGGGGATGAATGCAATAAATATTTGGGAGTAATCAGTGGAACTTTGCTATTGATTGTATATGACCAGGAAAAGAATTGAAGACCCTGAGATTTCTAGCTTCGGAGTCATGCTCAGTTGTTAATAATTAACATAGAGATACATTAGTGGGTGGAAAGAAATGAGCTGAGTTTTGGACAGATGAATTTAGGTTGCTGGCATGGCATTTTAAGGCTGTTAGGTTCCAGTCTCAACTACCTCCTCCTCCCATACCCTTCACTCACTCCCCTTTAGGCAAAGTAATTGCTTTTTTGATCCTCATTATCAACAGTAGAGATTGAAATGTGTGGTGAGCAATTTCTTGTTTCCTACCCAGATTTACATTATCCTCCTCTTTTGTATCCTTTCCTCCAGTGAAAAAGATTACAGAACATTTATCACCATCACTACTACTGCCCCACCCCACTCTGGCATATTGATAGATAGCTTTTATATTTTTATATGACATAAATGAAGTAACTTGGCAGAACTCTATGAAAGCAAACAAAACTTAATGAAGTGTTTGTGCTTAAAATATTAATCAATCAATGAGTAAGGAACACCTCATTCATCTAGTATCATTAGGTAATCAATATTCTACATAAGGTAATTGAACATCCCAAAATCTATTTCTTTATACATTTTATAGAGAGATTTTTATATTTATATATACTATATGGATTTTTTTTTAAGTTTATTGATTTTTAGAGAGAGACTGAGAGAAACATCAATATGAGAGCATAACATCAATCTGTGGACTGCCTACTGCATGCTCCCTACAGGGATCAAGTTCACAACCCCCAGCTGCTCCCTTGACCAGAATTAAACTGGCAACCCTTTGATGCATGGGACGATGCCCAACCAACTGAGCCACACAACAGCCAGGGCAATTTTAAAACTAGATTTTATTTTATTTTATCTATCTCTCTATCATCCATCTATCTATGTATCTATCTATGTATCTCCATCCATCCATCCAAATCTGCTTTTATTGACTTCTAAAATGGGGAACATTCCCCCTGCCCCATACGTAACTCTTTCTGAAAGGTAGAAATGGCTCTTTGTTTCAGAGCTTCAAATGAGAGTCAGGAGCCCCAGGTTCTAGTTCAAGGTCTAACAGAAAATTCCTGTATGAGATATTTTGTTTCTTTACTTCTGGATCCATGGAATCTAGAATAGTGCCTGGCGTGTAGTAGGTGCTTAGCAAGTATTTGTGGAATGAATCATTATTTTATACTTACTTTAGTACTCCTTTCCTGATATATTACTTGGAACTTATTACTGCCTAATAAATAAGCTTCTGAGTTTTTAATATAATAGGAATATCTAGGTTCTGATTGAGGTGAACTGTTAAGCTTAATTTATGTCTGTGTTAGCTGCTTAGTAGAATTTTTGGCCTTGGTGTATTTTTTGCTACTTAAAGTTGACAAACAAATGATATTCTAATACTTGATTTATTGAGAAGGATTTATTGCATATATTCTGTATACCTATATTATATTTAGGCAGTGTTTTCTATACCCTAGATGAAAAGACAGAGAAGTAGAACTGTAAGAGAATAATTAAATGTTGGATCATGAAGCCTTGACCCAGGGGTGCATTAGGAGTTCTAGGAATAGAGAGATCCAGAGGGGCTGACGCATTAGAAAAAGGATTCAAGAAGGAGATGAAACTTGATTCGGTTTTGAAGAGGTAGTTAACATTATGATAAGCATCAAAATGGAGAAATTACATTCTAAGCAAGGGCATTAGCATAGTTAGGAAAGAAGGCGTCATAGAACATGTTCAGACAAGCTTGACTGGATTCTTATGGGTGAAACCGATAGTGGGAAATAAAAGTAAATGGATTTAATAGTTTTACTCTTGTCTCCATGACCCCTGAAGGGGTCTGAGGACAGAATTTAGAGGACTCCACACAATTAGATGAGGGGAAAAAAAATCATGTCTTTATATTTTCACTAACAGTACTTCAACTGAAATTTAGCACTCTTTCTATTGTGATTTTAAGCAATAAACCACAGAAGTAGTGCCTGTGGTTTTATTACTAATAGAAAAAGGACTGATATTTTTGTATTAATTTACAGTTGTGGGTATCTCTGAGTATAATTTGTTAGTATTTCAAAATTATGGTTGTTGTTAGACCCCTGCTAGATTTTACTGTGTTTAGTGTTAATAAAGAAGCACATATATTCTTTTTCCCTCCAGACACCTTAAATTAATTAATTTAAAAACGGGCGGGGGGAGTACTGGCACATGCTACAATATAGACGAACTGTGAAAACATTAGGCTAAGTGAAAGAAACCAGTCTCCAAAGATCACATATGTGGTATGCTTTCATTTATACAAAATGTTGAAAATCGACAGATCTACAGTGACGTAAAGTGGACTAGTGGTTGCCTAGAGCTAGCAGGAAATGGGTAGTCACTGCCAATAGGTCCAGGACTTCTTTTGGGGATGATAATGATGTTCTAAAATTTATACAATGGTGCAGGTGATGGTTGCACTACCATGAATATACAAAAACTTTG